GGATATTTTTTGTTTTAATAATTGTGATGATTCAGGTCTTCAATTTGAAAGTGAATGGTCATCTACTAAACATAATTGTAAGTGAATTAAGTTTGATGTCAATAATCCATTACCCATTAATAATTGATTAATGGGTATGTTTCTTCTTACAGTAATTGCAACACTAAAATTTGATACTGTAAGTAGAGGTAGGAATCACAGGGTCCCTCACTATTCAATACAAACCACAAACCACTACTTGTGCAACATTAAAATTAAATACATCTATTTAAATCAACAAAACAGTGAATATCTCATGTTTCCTTCCACTGAATAAGCAACAAAATTGTAGTACGTCACAAAAAATGGCTAAAAATGACCAAAAACACAATATATAAATACAGCATCCCACAATAGTGATACTGTATCACCAAATTTACAATCACAATATGTCGATATTTTTATATTTTTGCACTCCGTTAATTGTAGCATCTCTTATTCAAATTGAACATATACTATAGTGGCTTTTTACTACCAGCAACCCCACTGATGAGACTGCACTGTGTAATATGGATGAGATTTCTCCTGTTACATTATTGTTTGGCCTTTTGCCCTTCCTGCTTCCTGCCTCCTGTCTATAACATTTACAAACTGTCATTCATAATTTCCTCTTTAATCACATTTAACTGCTTCGAGTGTGGCATCAATACAGAGGCATTATCATCACTAACAAGGTCTGTAATTAAGACCGATCTAATTAACTTTCTCCTGGACACTGTGTTCTGTCATGGCATTTACACCACACTGGATTTTAAACCTCTTCTGTATTAATTATATGAAGTCTTAAATTACTAGTGTATTCCATTATCATTATATTCCTAAGCATGAAGCAGCTGTAGAGACCGGATTAAAATCTATAGAGCTTTTTTGTAGGTAGCAGCAAATTATCTAGATAAGTGAACAAAAGTAATTGACAGTAATTAATTAACAGTAATTGACAGGTATAAGAGTACACAGACTTGTACCTGGACAGATATAAAGCAGCATGGTATTATAAAAAGTAGAATGATTTAATATAAAAAAAAAAAAAAATCACACTGTATATATTGTAGTCTGAATAAATAGTTTATTATAATTAGGGGTGTGCAAAATATTGAAATATCGATATATTGTAATCTTTAATGTGATGATACAGTATCGATATATCGCCTAGAGTATTTTTCGGTATTTTTTACTAGATTATTTTGTTACAGCTCTACAGTTTTGTTGCTTGTTCAGAGGAAGGAAACTCGTTTATGCAACACATTTGTCATTTTCACTGTTTTGATGAGTAAAATGGGTGTGTTTCATATTCACTTTGCACAAGAAGTGGTTCAACAAAGACTTTAAGTATCACAGCCATGATTTAGCCCTGACCATATCAAATCAATCTGAAATATATCATATTGAATCCTATCGAATCGTAAGATCACTGCATCGTGATATGTATCGTATTGTGGCTTATGTATCAAGTAATGTATCGTATCAGCATCTTCTGAATGATACTCAGCCCTATACTATAATCCTGGTATCAGAACTGGTATTGAATGTCAAGTCTATTCCTTAGTACTGTATTTGAGTTTGAAATGTTAGCATTTTTAGCATCTTTAGCATTTTAGTGACAATTCTCCACAAAGCTTAAAAGTTGTAAGATGGTTGGGCATTTCAAACTGGAGGAAAAAACGCTTATTTAACAAAATAAAACACACATGCGATCAGAGGACTAATACTTCAATATAATTGCATACTGTCATTGTTTCCTTGGGCAAGACACTTTGGCCACCTTAACACTTTTTTTTAAGACGGAGTACATTACAGTGTGAATGTGGACAGGCGTTGATGCAGATTTGCAAATTGCAGTTCTAATGTTAATGAGGAGTGAGTGAATAATGCATTTAATTACAAGGCTACTTTCAGCTACTACATAACACAACTGGATACTTTATAAAGCTAATAGCGGATCTAAATTTAAAGCTCCTATATTATGCAAAATTGTTTTAGATTAGAGAGTTGTTACCTCAATACCTGGAGTTGTGCTTTGTTTCATTCTCACACATTTGAGTAATCACTTATCATTATTTTGTCTACATCTCCAAAGGTCAAAATGCAGTTTCAAAATGTAGTTTTTATGTTAACAGCTACCTTTTGCCTTTAGTTCAGTAGAGATTAGCAATTCTAGGGCTGAAATTATCCAAATGTTTCCAGTGAAGGTGTATGACGTTTAAAAACACAGTGGAGGACTTTTAGTATTTCCAAATGATGTCACAAAGTGGAACAGAGTGTTTTTGAGTGTGAGAGAAAAACTGAAGTTTCAAGATTTCTTTATTAGTTAATTTGCAGTGTATAGTAAACAGGGGTTATGTGTTAAACATGTGTGAATGAAACTACTCAAATCCATGTATCTTTGTGATGAGGAAACATTATAAGATAGATCAGAAAATAGCGTAATATGGGCCCTTTAAACATATTTGCACATACGTATCTTTTAGACTCTTTAGTGTCTTAAGAGTGTGTTGCTTGCGTCACCACTCGACCAGGTGCACATTAGCATCGCCTGACGCTGCTTCCAACAATAATTACATCCAATCAGATCCGAGTTTGTGCACATCTCGGAGAATATATTTGATTTAGCACATGCATTTTTCAAGTGGGCTGCTTTGTCCTCTACAATATCTGCAAATGGCTGAACCTGTTGAAATCATGTGTTTTTCAGTCAAACCGATCATGGGGCAGGTGTTTTTTTGCCTTCTCCTCTTCACTGTTGCATGTCAAGAAGCTCAGTGAAATATGTCTACATTTTGGCAGACAGCACTTCAGGTTTAAAAGGCTCAGTTTTGCTCTGGGAGTGATGGAGTAAGAGTGACAGGTGTGAATTGAAGCATCCGTACTCAGAGATAACCAATCAGCATGTGCTAAAACGCTGGTCTCATGGGATTTAAAGCATGTTGGTTTCACAGGGACAGTGTATGAACTCCAATAACAGTGATGATTCAACTTGTTAAACAGAGCTATTTCTATGCTGTATTAAAGGTGCATCGTGTAACTTTTCACCTTGTCACCTGCTTTTTTCTATGGAGATGTCATTGCTCTGCCTGGAATGTTCCACAGTATGACATTAAACGGCTCTATCAAACATTTATTTAATTACAGGTGGTTTTATAGCTCAAAAATACCTAGAAATAAGTGTTTTTTCAGTTTCAGGTTGATATCGGGTATCGACAGATCCTTAAAGCTGTAATATCTGAATCAATATTGAACTGAAAAGGCTGGATTGATGCATCTCTACCTAATATTCCAATTTGCTTATCTCCAAAACAACCATTGCCATATTATCTTTTACTGTATATGTCTCTTTTTTATGATGGAGCCATTTTCTTCTGTGCACAGGACAATGCATTACCTACATAATTTGCTTTTTGATTAATGTTACAACAGACTGAATTTGGAATGAGAGTAGATGTCTATGAATAAAACATTGGCTCAAAGATGGATGAGGACTTGTTTTGTGTTAGACTATTGCGTCAAACATATTCATAACTTTTCACTTGAGAAAATTTTTTTTGGTTTGGCAGACATTTCTTGATACAACATTTTTGACGTCTTGTTTTTGTGTTGATTTGTGCAGTCCACGTCAGTGAGATAAAGTACAGGCTGGTGAAATGTGATCACGTGTCTCTTTTACATAAACCGTACAAAGAGTGTAATGTCACCCGTAGCGTTCAGCTCGAGTCAAATGAAGCTCATGAGGCTAGCAGTTAGTAGCAAAATAAAAACACAAGGACCATGTAGAGCGGGTTAATATGAAATGATAAGGCTCTCCACAGCAGTTACAAAGAGATGGGTGGCAATTTTCCAATGTAAAGTCAATAGGAAACAGAGCCAAAGGAGCCGGAAATGCCCCCATGAACACTTCCTATTTGGAACGTGTTGGCAGTGTCCATTTATATGCACAGTCTAAGGTCCTAAAGCTGAAACTGAAGCCACAGACTCACCACTGGACTTCACATATGATTCAGATTCTGTTTGAAAATATGTGAGTGCTGAGGTCAGAACAATACTAATACTACAGTCAGCTCAGAGCAGTCAATGGAAAGGCCTGGATACTGTTACAATCAAACACTAGCTTTCATAATTATAATTACTTTCACATGGTTCAACTAAAGGACTTAATCAATTTCAATCAAGTGGTGATCTTTGCTTCATTTAACATTAGTTGTGCATCAGATCATTATATGCATGAAGTTAAGGCACTTAACCAATGGCCATCTAATTAATGGAAGAAAATACTAATAGAACTAGGACAAATAGTACGTTTAAGTTTCATGTTAGCCTCATGTTTAAGGATTCATGTTAGCCTCATGTAAAAAACAAACAAAAACAAAACAACACATAGGATTAGACTACAAATGATTGTATGATTGTAAGATTGGTAGAAAACTGGTAGTTGTAGAGAAGAGTTTAATAAAAGTTTAAAAAGCATTGAATGTGAATGCAAAGAAGACACAATTTTAATATGAAATGTTTTCTGCCTTCTTGTGAAATTTTGTGCTATTATTATTAATAGTACTTTCCTCTACTACATTAAAATAGTACTACCCACTTATAGTATCAGAAATATTAAAAATATTTTTCAATAGTGGAAGTAACATAATATTTTTGATAGAGAGTGCGCTTAAATTTAACTGTAAACTGCATTTAGATATGCTGAATCATTAAAACTATTTTAATTTCAAAGTGTGTAATACAATATAATAACTTCTCTAGTGCACTGATATTGCCATTATAACTTTCCCTGTATTGCTTTTTATTGCTGTGGAAAGTGCCTCTAAATAGTTGTTTATCATAATAAGTTCACATACGGAGGACAAATGTCTTCTGTTGGAACAGTGCATTGGCCTGACAGTGAACCCTGCTCCTGTGTTTGTGTTGAGCTTGTACTATTCAGTCTAAACTCATTATCTCGGTTCTGCTTCTGTCCACAGCCTCTGACGCCAAAGAACAGCAGTTTTGGATCAGTCAGCTCCAGGCCTGTGCCAGACGCCACTCAGACAGCAGTGCCAAGGTAATACCCCAAAACTATACCACCCTTTGCCACTCTGTACTACCTCAAAACTACCCCCATGTACTAACCCAAAACGATAGCGCCCTTTACCACTCCGTACCTCCCCAAACTCTACCATCTAGCCTCCTGTACCAGCCCAAAACTATACCAACCACCCATACTAACCTTTTACTTTTTTATGTGTCTCCAAAAAATCTCTTACTGCCTAACTACAGAAATCTGAAAGGTCCCTGATATTTAAGGTGCAATATGTAAATTTACTATTGGAGTGTTTGCCACCTGCTTGTCTCCGTGTAGACTGTGATTACTTTGCTTGGACTGTTTCACAGCATAAAACTTGTCTATCTCCTTGAATCAAGCAGCTGATGATTCCAGGCCAAATGACTGGTCAGATCTGTGGTGAGGTGACGCAAACGCATCTCCATAGAGACAAGAAGAACTTTCTTTAGCAAGTCTTATCTGCCTTGAGTTCATGTAGTTGTAAAGGTTAGGGTTTCACTTTTAAATGTCCCTCCTCTCAATGTGTCATCGTCCAGTGTTTGAAGAGATTTCTTTGGACTAACTCTGTAAAAGAGCACAGTGTGAAGTATCAGGGGGATTAAACAGAAATGATCCAGCCGTGATTGGATTTGTGCTTCTTGGCCTTGGAGTCTTTCAACTGTACTACTGGAAACGATGCAGATGACAGGAATAAATTAAATGTGGGTTTGGCAACAGCACCACAAACCACAATATAATGTTTTAATAGATTTAAATAAGAATTGGTGAAATGTCCCTTCTCACAATGTTTCACTATACATTTGTAATTCAGCTGACTCCCCGCTGTCTGTGCCAAAAACCACAGGCAATTTGAAAATAATTCGATTTCACAATGCAGAATCCTTAGCTCCCCTTCTTTACACTAACAGTCCATCTCAAGCACTGTGGCAATACTTTGACTTAAATGTTTTGCCATTATTTAACAGACCAAGTTAGAAAATGTTTTTAGATGATAATTATGAGCACTTGGTTAAACTGTAGCTACTGATACTTTACAGTGACGTCACACTGGTGGTGTTCTAACAAAAATGTAGATGGAGATGTTATTGCTTTGCCTGAAAGTTCCATAGTATAACATTAAACACATCTCTCTACCAGTTATTCATTACAGGTGTTTCTATTGCTCAAAAACACAATAATTCTCTCTGAATAGGGTTGCCTTTCCACAGATCTGACCTGTGATGTGTCCCTTGCAATAGATAGACTCCATGAAGACAAGCAGGTGACAGACTGTCCACCAGAAAAGTTGCACAATGCACCTTTAAGTGTTGCATTTTGCTATTTATCTATATCAGCTCATGTTTTTAACAATATTGTACATTTAGAATACTTTTTTGAGCATAATCCTGCTTTATGGTTTGGTTTCAGTATTATCATTTATCATCTGTATATGTTTCAGCAATACAATACAATCACACTTCAAAATTTGTTATCCTGACAGGCCCAGCTCATATATACAGCCATGACTTTGGGTTGATTGTGTTGCAATGTGTTAATCTCTGCAACACCATAATTCATTTTAATGTTTTAATTTGAGCTTTTCTCATTTCTTCCTCCTCTTCAGTCTCTCGTCCTCAGCACACAAACAGATGCACTAATACAAGTCATCAAGACAAATCCCACATCTCCTCTGACAACAATTAACACCAAGTTTAATCACACCGAAACCAATTAAAACTGTATGAGTCATGTGTAAACGTCAACTACAGTAGCACCCTGCCATTTTGTGGCATAAACAAAAATAAAGAGAGCAAAGCAATGTTAAAGCCACACACGCATATTTTAGACAATAAATATGTATTGTTGTGGGTGTAATAGTTTTTCACAGAAATCAGGCTACAGTTTGTATAGCAGAGTAATGAAATCTAACCACTGTAGCAAACAGGTTGACCAATTTTTTTTAGTAACCATAGACTGTATTTATAAATGGACATAGCTAGCCCATTAGTCGCCGCGTTCCAAACAGACAGTGAGCATGGGCATGCTTCCAGCTCCATCGACTCTGGCTCCAATTGATTTTCTATTGAAAAACAGTCGCTCTGTAACTGCTGCTGTCACACTCATCATTTAGGTCTTAAAATGTCCGTATTAACCCACTCTGCATGCCCCTGGTGTTTAATAACAGACCAATCAGGCACTTTCTTTCCCCGAGGTTGTTCCAGCTAGTGTTAGCAACAGGTTTGATTGACAGCATTGCAAAGGAGAAATTCCATTTGTCAGCTGGACAAAAGTTTATTTTTTATTGTCCCGCTGACAAATTGAATTTCTTCTTTGCCATGGATTCTACCTGGATGACAGAGGGATTTTACACACATATTGACAGCGTTGCTAAGCACCTGCTCCCTGTTAAACCAGCAGCACGCTTGAAGGGAGCGTTACCTTAAACAGCCTCACTTCGCATTGGCTCTTTGGTCGCTACGTTGCTTGTAGTCGTAATTCCAAATATTGAACTCGTCTCCAAATTCACCCATATAACTGCAGGCCTTGATGAGCTTCATTTGACTGGAACCAAACCCCATGGGTGACATTACTCTGCCTTAATCCATTTCTTTATACAGTCTATGTTAGTAACCAACCACAACTAGTTCAGTTTGCAAAAGCTGATGTATTACAGGGCACAACAGACATATAATTGCAGAGATAATTTGGCTAGACATTTTCATCGTAATAATTATATAAGGCATCTCCTTATGGAGAAGCTAATTCTTAATTGTATATACTAACACTGAAACCCACAGAAAATGCTACACTAATACTACAATACTAATACTCTACTAAACTATAGATTTTAAGCAACATCTATTTTCTTCATATTGCAGGCAATGCTGAGATTCATGTATGTTAAGAATAACTATTTCTATCTACTTCACCAGTCACCAACACCAAAATAGCATTCAAATCCTGTGTGGTGGTACAGCTGTCATAGTAACTATCCGTATCCTGACTGGATTAAGGTTTGGGATTTTGGGCCTGGGGGATTAGCCAGTTACACTTGCGTTGTCTGTCTCTATGTGGGATGTATTGGGGTCGTGCCTATAAACCGTAAGCTAAAAGGAGAAAGAGAGGAATAATGATTTAAAGTTATACTGCAATCTTGAGCCCCCCGACTGAGCTGGAGATGTTTACGACTGAGGAGGCAGGCACACGCATATGAATCAGGTTATTTTAGCTAGCATTGTTGTTGACATGTTTGAATACTGAAATCTGATGAAGAGTTTTAAAGCTGCAAAACTTATAATGAGTTGAATTTGATAATGTCATCATGGATTGCTGTTTTTTTTTTTTATTTCAAATTTTTATTTTTGTAGAGGTCTATAGCATTCAAATGTTGTCTTTCCTAATTTAGGTTAGAGACTGAGTCCATAAACTGCAGCTATGAAAGGTCCCATATTATGTTTTTGTCTGATCTCTTATAATGTGAGTTGTTTAACACACAAATCCTGCATATTTAGGTTGACAGAAAACAGTCTGTTCCACCTTGAGATGTTATGTTGTAATACAGGAAGTGCTCCATTGTGTTTTTAAACTCCACACATTTTTCACTAGAATCATTTGGATAAGTTTAGCCCTGGAATTTCCGATTTTCTACTGAACTAAAGGCAAAAGGTGAATGATAATTGGAAAACTTCTGCTTTTTGACATCACAAGGTGAACAGACTTTTAATCAAAACACAACTCCATGTTTTTGAGGTAACGACATTATAACATGACTAAAAGTTCATAAGAGTCAATTTTGTATAATATATGACCTTTAATCATATAAATCAGTATTTCCCAAAGTTTTTTTTCTGGGGAACCATATTTTAAAAGTCACAAACCTTCACAACCCCAGTCAATAGACATTATTCATAAATTACAAAATAAAGGTGGATTTGACCTTTATTGAACATTAATGAGGATATTTTATTGTTGACTGAGTGATTGTATCTCTCTGAACAATTAGTATTAATCAATTTTTAAACAAAGAAAAACTATTTGGACATTAAATGTAGCCCATTTCTTTTTCTTTTCAACATTCAGTTGAACCAGCAATATTGGAACGAAATAGTCACTCACTCTCTCATGTGTCAGAAATGTATATTGCAGACCTACATGCAGATCGTGACAAGGCGACCCAAAAAATGATATAAGTGGTTCTTAAATGTAGTCGTTCTAACTTCTTATGTTGATTTACTAATTGTCTGATCCATGCTTATTTGTTTGACTGTGGAAAAACATGCATTCAAACTCTGTCTCTGTCTCTACTCTAGCTCTATATTTCTCTACTCTAACTCTAACTCTCTACTCTAACTCTATATTTAGTAAACTGTATGAATTTCCAGGGAAAGCAATAACTTCATAGACACATTCAGGGTGAAAAATTATATAGTGCGCATTTAAATAAAAGATTAAATATCTTGTGTATGTGTTATGTGTTATTATGCTTTTTATCCCAGTGTTTTATATTACAGTTTCCTTCTTTGTGCTTAGGTAAGGAAGCTGAAAGGGTCTGATGAGCACCTGAGTGTGGAGCGGGCCGGGGGCGGACAGGAGGGGCTGGTGAGTCATACTCCACTCATTCTCAACACAACCACATAGTTTTAACTTGGAGACTAACTTCTGATTAACTCTCTATGGTAAAAGGAAAGTTTCTAGTGGGGGTTCTTTATAATGAGGAAAATCATTAGTTTAATGTTTATTTGAAAACTAGTACTATGACAAGTCACCCTCTGAGAGTATATTATTTACTGAATTTTTTATCATTCAGTCAGTTTTTATTTGTAGAGCTCTTTACTCAGCACTCCATGTGGCCAAAGTAGAGATCGCCATAAACCAATGGCCAATAAGATCTGCCGATAGTTTTGGGCCAATATATAGGACAAATTTTTTTATTACATTTACTGCAAACTTCCCCTAAGCCCCCTTTTTTAACCACAAACCGATGAGAGAGCTGTGTAGTCATGTTTAGTGCAGTGTTCTCTTTGTATAAGTGTTAATATAAAGCTAGATAATTTAGTTTTATTTCACAAGTTTTTGTAATCGATAAGAACAGTAATTTTAATCATTTACACATTTTTTGCAAAATTTTAGTTTTTAAAATTTGATTTTACCTTGTAATTTGCTTGTCATTATGCTTCCTATCTGTGTTTAGTTACATGCATATTCATCCCCTGTTGGTCTTCTCTTATTTTTAAAATTGAACTCAGTGTCTCTTTGCTATTTTGGTTCATTTTCTTGATGGATTCCTTAATTTAAAAGGCAAAAAAGTCATGCATAACTAATTTCATCACCACCTACACAGTCTCTGAAATAGCTCACCTTTAAATGCAGCTATGACTAAGATAATGATCCTTAACCTAATTAGCTGCATATATGCAAGCTTCTATAACTATTTCTCCAAGCCCATTGGGTTTGAATGGTTCATTATGCGTCTTCACTGGAGTCTCACTCGTGTCTCTTCATCACTTTAAAGCAGTGCACATCTGGAGACTGGACCAATTACTGCAGAGCTCGGAGAGAGAAGCAATCCACAGACCAGAGCAAATTCAACAGTGTGGAAAGTGTGGACAAAATTCTGTACCATTTTCTGTTCTAAGTGATAATGTTATTTTCCCAAAACAAAAAACATGCTTAAAGTTCTGTTTTGTTTCATTCACACATTTTTTTACACATTTAGATTTTTTACACATTTAAGATCCACCTTGTGATGTCATGTGGTAAAACAGGAAGTGCTCCACTGTATTTTTGAACTCTAAACACCTTAACTAGAATCATTTGGATAATTTTAGCCCTGGAATTTTGGGCAAGTAAAGATTTAAATTCATATACAGTGGAACATATAACATGAGTGAAATCATAATAGAAATGAAAATAACAACAAAAAATTACTACTATTATTATTATTTTGCCCAAAAAGGAGTGGGAAGAAGAAAACTTATTTAATCCCACCCCTACTCTTCATAATCTAACACAATGAGCTTCTTTTGCATTTTTCAGACATTTTGAATTAAACTATATGAACTAATTTACAAGTGCAGACAAAGAGTCTCTGTTATAGCTTGGTAGTATAACATAAGTGTACCAACAATGGTAAAGTTAAGGATACAGACAATGGTAAAAACAACAAATACAAGTAATGTAACTGCCAATTTCTACTGAACTAAAGGTAAAATGTAGCTGTTAACTTGAAAACTACAACTACATCAATGACATCACAATATAAAACTTAGCATTTTGAGCTTTCTAGATATAGACAGACTAATAAACCACAAATGAATGAAACATTACTCCGGGTATGTTTTTGATGAGGTAATATAGGACCTTTAAAATGAGACGAGCTGTGTAGTGTAAGTGTAAATTGTGTGGGAGAGGGAGGTCACATTTTAGTGTATTATGTAAAACCAATTGAAATTTTCAACAAAACACTTTTCCAACTCTCCTTCGTTTACACAGTTGAATAGATTACACCACCTCTCTTCACTACACTAAAAGTAAAAGGTGGCTGTTACTGAACTGCAAACTACTGCTTCATGACATCACAAGGTGGAACAGAGCATTTTGACCTTTGGAGATATAGACAGAGTAATAATAAAGGATTGCTCAAACATATGCAAATTAAACAAAACACAACCCCAGGTATGTTTTTGAGGAGGTAACAACATTATAACAAGTCCATTTTGTGTAATATAGGACCTTTAACTCCCTGCCTTGAAACTATTCCACTGAGCAGTTTCCTATTAGCATTTTTTCCTGAGGATTATATTACTGGGTTCATTAGTTCCTGTGCTATCAATAACACGGATTATTAGCTGTTACAAGAACAACAGACCCTCCACATGTTTATATTTGAATACAAGGCTCCACCTCTGTGCTGTGTGATTGTGACTAATGAGTTGTTTGTGTTGGAAAATGACAGCTTGACCCTTGGACTCAGACCCACGCAGATCCACTGATATAAGCACCAATGAGCAAGGTGACTAAAGCGAGCATTAGGACTTAGAAGGACTAATTAAAGGCCATTAATGAAGAGTGTGTGTTATAATTATTCAATTAATTAATGATTATACTTAGATTAAAATGTTTTTGATCTGTAATCTGTTATACTTTTCTATTATATTTACTTTTACATAGTTAGAGACTTGTGGTTCCCAAAGTGCCATCTCGGGCCTCCTAGTGAGTCACACAGGAATTGCAGGAGTTATAATGTTGAGGTTAATTTTATATAATTTATATACTGAAACTTTTTTATGTAATATTTGGACTTTGACATACAAGAATTGTTTCAATCACTGACATTCTTTAATGTTGTGAGGGTACTGAGATTTATTTTAAATATTTAAATATTTTTATTTTAAACATGTTTGTCTATTTCCAGTTCAGGTGTCTTTATTGCTCCTTGAACCACTTCATAGGACTGTCTTGGCCTAATGGTGTAATCTGCTTGTCTCCGTGGAGATAGGTAATGCTGGACATACACACTGTGCGGCTTAAAAGTTCACAGCTCACGATTCATGTTCTCAAACTATACGAACTACTTTAACAGTGTGAAACCCTCACAGGAGCCGACTGGATCTAACAGGTTTGATATTTTTGCGACCTACGATTGCCGATTGGGAGCTGGTCGTGAGGTATTAATTGGTTCTCTTTACCCCATATTTACTACACAAAGCACAAAATACGATTAGGCCAAAACTCTGCCCGATTACAAAGACAGTCGCACAAGTGAAAAATCGGCTCAAAAAGGGTCAAAAATCGCACAGTGTACTCCTGGCTTAAGGTGATGGATAATACACTGTGGAATATTGTATTCAAAGTTATCTCCATGGAGACCATGGCTGGGATTCACAGGTTCCCTTATAATTTGATACTCGACATATGGATCACCGTACGATATTATCACGATATGGCGATACACGTCATAATCGATATATTGCACATGATACTATACGTACCTGTGATATGTTGTTATTTTTTAATAACCAAATACATTTTAGCGACAATATTTCTTTGTTAAACCACTACTTGTGCAAATTTAATATGAAATGCATCTATTTTAATCATCAAAACTGAATATGTCAAGTCTATTGCATAAACAATTTTCCTTCGACTAAATAAGCAACAAAATTGTAGAGAAGTGACAAAAAACTGCTAAAAAATACCAAATGATAATGATACTGTGTCATGATGGTACTATCACGATATATTGAGTTCAATATTCCCATATTTGTGCACACCCCAAATGGGCACACTCACAGTTTGACCTTAAGCAGAGTGATGAACAGTAAATAAAGGATTCCCTGTATCATTACATTTTTGAACATGGCATTTCCAAATGTTTTTTAAACACTACAAATTTAATACCATTTATCTTTCGACACCAGTGTCTGCTCCAGTTTACTTAATAATTGAATCCACTTTTACTGTTTGTCCTGCACAAATCTCAGCTGTCAATTGTCACCACAATCCATTGTGGTTCTGTCCAGAGGTCGAATGATTGACCTGATTCCAATAGTCAGTACTAAGCCCCTCCCACCTCTGCTGCTATATCTGTTCTGTTGGTCTATCCATACAAGTGCATTTCTTCTTTCTGTCGTGGCACCTTTTTAATCTGTTTTATTGAAAAGCGTTGGGCCCTGTGCCAGTTTTAAAGGACAAATCTTCACTGTCCCTGGTTTCTTTGTGCTTACTCATGGCTGGGGTTGGCCTCAGACCGTACGGCACAACAGGGCTCTTGTCTACAAACAGATTAATCATTACTCCAGCCAGTAAAGTTACAGAAAACATTTACTCTTGTGTCATGTCACTGTAAATTTATCTTGAAGAGCACTTTATTTTTATTCATAATTTTGTTGTCGTTTTAGGATTGAGAGGAGTTGTGGTGTTGAGGGAGTCTTTTTGTTGCAAGTTTATCCAAATACATACAGTATCAAATGGCAATGTTCAATATAGTATTGATATTGATATACTGATACAATGGCCTGTGATGCTAACTGGAGGCACTACAGTCAGAAAGTCTGTTAGACTTTAATCTGAGCCTTGTTTTAAGAGCATCTGACCTTAAAGAACTGACTACAACAGGTCCTCTTGTTTGAGCTGCTGAACAAGTCTCCCTTTAACATCATTACAGTCACAAGCTAGCTAGCATTAGACATCAGACCTTTTTTGTTGAAAATCAAACACCTAAACAGGACCATGAACGCTCTTATCGATCACAATTTCCTGAAATGATGTGTTTTTTCTTGACTTTTCAGACAATCTCAGGCTGTGCTTCCTAATGTGTACATATTATCTCCATGGCAATTGCTGTACATTCTACCATAGAGATATAAGTAGAGCGGCCCCACCCTGTTGATACTTTGCAGGGACAAAGTATCAATAGGAAAGTATCAATAGGCTGCCATGTCCTGTTTTCCACTATAGCTAAGCAGTTTGTACTTATCAACTAACAATTACCATGTGTGTCTGTGCGTATTTTTGTATTGTTTTAATACTAATAAGTTTTCTCTTGTAAACTTAACCTTTTGTATTTTGATAATCAATAGGCTATGTTAGACTATCCTGACACTAAAATACATGCCAAAAGACGTACAACCATGAGCCACTATATTTCAACCTTCATTAGGTTAAAAATGTTCTTTTTTCCTAATTATTTATTTTAAATTTTTTAAGTGGTATGAAAAAGACAGATACAATATAATTTGTGGGGTGCATACACATGAATAGTTATTACTACCAATTGCAAGAAAAACAAAGTAAAGTGTCAGTCAAACAATGTCTGGTCTTACAGTTTTGATAAATTCGGTCCACCGTTTCCATTTGTTCTTAAATTTGTCTTGTAGCAGTCTTATACTAAAAGTAATTCTCTCCATCTTAAAAATATCATAAACAATCTCAAACCATTCATCCAATGTTAGTATTTGTGAATTAAGTTATAAGTTGTTTACACGAGAACGCTTGCGGGTAAAAATGACAAAATATTTTATCGGTAGTGCCTTTCGTTTAGATGGTGATGGCGTTTTTGGGGCTTAAAAACGCAAAAATCTGAAACCACCTTCCAGAGTGGAAAAGTTGAATACGCTCTGCTGTAGCGTTTCCGTCTACACCGCCCAAGAAGCAAAACTCTGGTCAGATCTGCTCACATGGCGTATTACATCGCATACATGTAGTACACAGAAACAAACACCCTGGATCATTTCCATGTGTTGGACCTTCAAGCTGCTCTGGCAGCTCTAATAAACTTACAGGAGGGATCTCCTGTAAAAACAAATGTACAGAATATGCAGAGATACTATTAGTGAACAGAGAAGGATCTGCAATTACCTCTGTCAAATTCTTGATGCACCAGTTCGTCGAAGGCGAGCCAGACGGCTATGGACGAGACCTGGGAGAACCAGTTGATGGTGGGACAACTTTGAATTCCACACACTTTTGCATCACTGTATATACACAGATTTCCTCCTGAAAACGCTTGTCTAAACGCGGAATAAAAAGTGAAGCTGTGACGCCACTTTTGTGTCATATAAACGTAGCCTAAGCCATTTCCCTGTTATAGCTTTCCAGCCAGCTGCCCTCAAAATCTGGAACAGGTATTTAAGTTTATATGTCATTTTCAGGAGACCCAGATACATTGATTCAAGTCAAAATGGTATGTCAGTACAGAACACAGTTTCTAATGATTTATGAATTTCCCTCCAAAATGGAACAATGCTGCATGAGGACATATGAGGACGAAATATATGTCGATGGTTTACCTTCAGTCCACCACATTGCCTCCAACAGTTTGATGATTTGGTGTAATGTCTTTCCTGGACTGGTGAAAAACTAAATTCTACCAACAAAAGTCTCTCCATATTATTGAGTTAGAAGTTTTCCATTGTATTTTGCAAAGGTTTTCCCATTCCTGATCAGGTGAAAGATCACTTCTTAAACTTATTTTTTTTTAGTTGTTATACTCGAAATTCTGATATTGCATTACTTCAAAACATCAATCAATATTATCAAATTTCCTCTACTAACAAATTATAAATAACCACAAAAACAAGTAATCGAGAAGCCTTATGTAATATAGAGGAGAGGAGAGTCCATATTACATCTGAGTTTTCCACCAAATCAATCCTCCTGGCACTTCTCTAGGCTCTGTGCCAGTTTTCTATTACAGAAAACACCAGTGTGTGCAGTTGTTCAACCATATTTCTCGCTGTTTGTGGAATCAAAAGTGGAGATAGGGGGTCTGACAGTATCCGGTCAGGGGTCACCGATCTGTGGACTATGTACTCACTAAAATACATCAAAATTTTGAAGTTCCCACATGGTTCTCTACCCATCAACGAACGGTTTCTTTTTCTCCCGCAATGTCAAAGTAATTCAGTCCTCAGTAAATCCAGTGCACTTTAACTGTCAGGTCTGAAGGCACTTAACGCTGAGTGAGTTTGAAATGTTGTCTTGTGTTTGTTCATTGATGCGTGGTTATATGTGGTAATGCAAGATACCAAAGGAGTTCTTGATATAATGGTTTAAGTTTTCATTATTGTGTACATAGTTGTGTTTTGGGGGCATCTGGGAGTTGAGAGGTTTTTCTGATAGGATTTGTAATAATAATAATTTGGAATCATTTTTCAAAATGGATTTCAAACAGAGGAGATCGTAAGGGTAAGGTCAACTTTTTGTATCACTGTGGCAGAAACTGATACTTTGCGGCTGATCTCATCAACATTTCCTGGGGACGTGGTCGTGCTACCTGTAGGCACCGCTCTGTCTGAAGCTGTGTTACTCAACTTAAGGCCGCCACACGCTACAGGAGACCTGACTTTTTTTTCCATCTATGATTTTGAAGCAGCTGCGTTCCTCGTGTGTGGTGTCACTGTGACTCTGAGTTGCTCTGTCATACAGTAAAACATCAACATAGTAACAGACAATAAAACAGTGTCAGGGGCAGACGGAGTGACGGACACGGAGGCGCATGATACAAGTTCAGGAAATAGCGGAAATAACTATTAATTACTGCAATGTAAACCTCAGCATCTCATTCATTATACATAGAATTTGTCCTCCACAAATAATGACACCCAGTCCACAAAACAGCGTTGTTAATCCTGTTTGAGGCATTCTTTAAAGGCTTAAAAAAGTGTAAAAAGTTCCTCATGTGTGTCTGTTTACATCTACACAGTGCGGATCGAGGTGAAGCTACATATTACAGATAGTGATTCATCTTCCTGTGCCATTTTTCTATTCATTAATCATGTATCTGATGTTTTGCACCACATTTCACAAATAATAACACAGTTTTGACTTATATCTAAGATAGAAGTGCAGTGCTCTGATCTTTTGAACACTTGAGAATCTCAAAGTGAGTGGTTTTACTCTAGACATGAAACAGCTGACAAGAGGTGCGCTCACAACTTTGCAGCATGTGCTCTGCAGCCATGTCCCACAGCGGCCTTTGAGATTGGAGATTTAAATTCTCCTTGTGTCTGTGGTGCGCACTTTTTGTCGCATGTTTAAAAATCCTTGAAGGCTGAAAAATCCTGTAGTGTGTGGCGGCTTTTAGACTTTAATCTGAGTTTATTTTAACACAATCTGACCACAAAGAACTGACCTAGCTGATACTACAAAAGGTGATCTGATTTCTGCTGTTAAACAAGTTCCTCTTAAATAACATTACAGCCACAAGCTATCATTAGCCAATAGTTTTTCAGTCTCAGTTTTTCAGACTCCTGAAAATGTGCTCTTTTGCATTACTCCTGTGTTTTTAGACTATTTTAAAACAGTTTTGGCTGTGTTTGCTAATGTATGCATTGTGTCACCATGGTAATGTACAGGCCAAACACCCCCAGCGTGAAATCACTGCAAAAATATCAATAAAATGAAGGGACAGTATGATGTGTTTTTTTTGTGAAATTTTCTCTATGATGGCTCGACTGTGGTGGTCGTGAAGAGGAGGAGATGGAGAGGCTGAGGGGGCTGCGGCGGTGCAGAGAAAGTGGATTTATATGAATGGCTACTTGAAATCTGACTGAGAGAAAGAGGTAGCAGGCTGTGATTGGCTACTACCGACAGTGACGACACAGAAAAGTCTTGGTATTTACAATCTCTTTTAAACAAAAGGTAAAAGGTGGCTGTTAACTGTTACTTGAAAACTACCACTACATGACATCCCAAGGTAGAACATGCGTGAATGAAACAAAACAAAACACAAGTATGTTTTTCATGAGCTAACAGCATTCTAACATGGCTAAAAGCTCACAGAGTTAATTTTGTGTAGGACCTTTAAAGCCCCACCTAACGTTTATCTTTTAGTAGAGTATATTTATTTTTTCCCCGGTGCTGTGCACTGCCTGCTTCTTATCATAAATCATTTTTATTGCTCACTAAACCGGAGGAAAGGGTCCATGTCCATCCCATGTCTGATCAGTCAGTCCCTACTACATTCTGTTTGAATACAGAAGGGACTAGAACTGAACCATAGAGCGTGAAAAAACTTCAAACTTGAGATGGTCCAAACACAGCCACCAATTTGTAGTATGTGTCTCTTCAGAATTTTTGTAACATTCAGAATAAAATATATAACTTCTTTTACTTGAAATAAACAATAGGTTTGCCTCTGTAAAAATCAGTTTCTCAGTTCTTTATATAGGTATTTCTCAGGTTTTACATGCAAGCAGCTATGTTTATTTTTGATGTGAATGGACCATGTGTCTCTCTGATTGGTTAATCTGTCTGTCAATCATGTCTCTGAAATTTGGGAGACAGAATATGGCTTCAGATCCACTTGTCTTTGTAAAGTTTTTTTCAAAGCGTGTGGTTCTGGCTGGCCAGGTAAGTCCATCCCATTACACTTTACCATGGCCCGTTGTGTAGAAACATGCTCTAGTTTTTTATATATTTATTAGTTATTTTATCCCTTTCCTCAAAACACAAGAGACAGACAAAGCTTCATAGTTTTGCCCATCTTTAGCTTTCATCTTTGTGTCTCCCAGGCCCCTTCCAGCTCAGGACGTACACGCAGCTTCTCCCTCCTCCCTCACATCACCCCCTCGTCTTCCCCGGCAACGCAGCGACACCTGTGCTCCATGGCGACGCCTGGAAACATCGTCACCATCACGCACCACAAATCCCCTGCTGCTGCGCGCCGGACGAAGAGCCAGTACCCCGGACGCCTCCACCAGGTCAAAGAGGTCAGGGACATGTTTATGAATGAGAGTTTGAGCTGTTATGACCAAGATTTTGGACTTACTAGACCTAGACAAATTTTATTGATCCATAAGGGAAGTTATATGAACATCATAGCTCACACATCACAATATATTATGGTAACAAAGAGTAAAAATATAATTTGTAATAATAAATGAAAATGCATTGTGCAACTTTTGTGTTATTGCTTTGTCGGGAATGTTTCACAGTATGGTATTAAACCTTTGTGTTTTCATGGAGACTAAACCAGACAGGTCAGATCTGTGGAGAGTTAGAGCTGGGTGTAAGTGTATTTATACGATACCTTGAAAAATATGCAATCTACTTACAGTAGATTGCATATTCTCTCCCCACAAATCAGACCTGTAAATTTGTTTGGTGCTTGTCTCCACAGGAATAGATTTATTATCACACTGTGAACAATTCCAGGCAAAGCAACAACATCTCATTGTTTAGGGATAAATAAACTAATCTATGGTTAGGTTGGTTTTATGGTTTTAATCGACTATAAAATATGGTGTATTAAGACAGAAATACATGGTTATTTCCTGTGTAATTTTTAATATACATTTCCTTATATTTTCTTATCTAAGGCCTATCTCAAGCACTGTTGTGGAGTGTGGAGAGTTTTTGGTTTGTTGGCTAATGGTTAGTGCTGTCAAACCCTGGTGCAGTGACTTCAGCAGATCTCCGCTACTGCACGGTGCCATTTGTGGAGCTTTAGTCTTGTTAGCATTTCCCTGTATATATCCATAATGATTACCATAGTGGGGGGGAGGTGACAGGGGACAGGCAGAGGGCGTGGGTAGTTATAAACATAGAATATAATCTGCAGCTCTGTCAATCACATGGAATAAGGGAAATTATGCTATTTTAATACACTATAACAAAACAGTTAATTTTAAATGTTATATTCTTGAATCAGTTGAGTGATTTAATTAGTTTTGAAATGAAATAATTACATACAGCTATATAATGCTTCACTATAAATTTAATTACTTATGTTTATCTATCTATCTGTCTATCTACCTAATTCATTAAGATTATAAATAAATAAGCATAATGGCTGTTTCAAGAATGTATATTTAACAACAATTTTTAAAATTGCTCCTCAGGGACAAATAGAAGTTACTGATTGACTGATTACTTTAAAATGATGAGACAACCCATTATAAACTGCTATTCTAGTGTTAGTTTGGACTGTGTTAAATCCTAATAAATATTATTTGTAGGGATGTAACTATATCCAAATTTCTCGGTACGATATGCATCTCATGTTATGACATTTATTACGATATTTTGGAGAGAGTGATATAATTGTAGATAGGATGTGTTTTTGCTTTTAAAATACCCGGACAAGATTTTGGTGTGAATTATTACTGTCATAATCCCAAGAATTCAAGTAAAAAACATATTACTTACATGTTGTCTGTGCTGAAATGAATCATGGGATATGTAGTTCCCGATGTTTATTAGCTATTGCAGCTGTAAAACCATGCATTAACAAAGGAACTTGTGATTTGATATATTGTGACACGTTGCGATACTATTGTCAGACATTTGACGATACAATATCACAATATTTCGGTTATTATTACATCCCTAATTATTTGTATTTTAATGGGCTTCACGTAGAATACAATGACCTATGAAGTTGTAAATTTGTTTTATTATTTAACAAAACTAAAACAGACAAAAAAATTAAATAAAACAAAATAAAACCTTTCCACGCCCCATCCTCTTTCCACACGCTCAACAAATTTTACACAAAACATATTTTTACTCACTATATCAGATAATATTAATCATTTATAGATACTAATCTGAGTAAGCAATTCATTTCAGTTTTATCTATAGGACAAATTCCAGTGTTCAATATTTCTGTCATAAATGGCTCATCTTATCCCTAAACTCATCCATATGTAAGACTTCATTTCCCATCATCCTCCACTCTGCTGCTAATCCTTAAATGTATAACTCTCATGCATTTTAAACGTTTTCACCGCTATTCCCACGCAAATTTAAATTCTCCAACCTGCAACCTCTTCTCCTGTGTTAATTAACCGTCCTTTCACTCAAAATCGCCCTATCAGCGCTTGACGGAGTCCAACATTAATTCAGACCTCACCTGTCGTCATTGGTTTTCCCATCTTCCTCACCACATCTCTTTACATCTATCTCCACTTCCTGTTTATAAGAGACAATTTGAGGACTTTTCATCATTCCAAAGATATGATATATTTTGTTTTGAATTGCTAATTGCTCTGCCGACGGTGCTAGTGTTTCATATCTCTGAAAGGCATGGATAGACTGACTCAGCTATGCGTAGCTCCGTGCTTATCTCACTATAGAAGATTGTTTTCTCTCTCTCTCTCTTTCTCTCCTCCCAGTAATAGCCTGTCCCCCAGTTCATTTGCAGTGATTAATTATGAGATATCGAGTTTGAAGTTTGGGCTGTTTAGTGAAAAATGATCCAATGTGGTTATTATTACAATAGCAGGTATTTTTGGGGTCAGGGTATTGTCTTGGGGGGAAAAATAGTCTGACAGGTTTGCATTCAAAGTGATGGAGATCTGATGACTTTGCAAAAAAAAGGGGAACAGTGAAATTGCTTGTTGTGCAACGTGTGCTTTGCTGAATGAAGGGAAGCCGTCTTTGATATCCACAAATGTAATCTTCTTTCTCAGGTTTGTTTTAGTCTTTTGGCAGTCTATCAGTCAAAGTCAAAGTATATTGCACCTTTCGAAAAACACAATTAAAGACTAGATAGCTTCAGCATGATGAAAAACAAAATATTATTGAATTACTAAAAAAGTGAAAGGGCAAACTTGACTCTTCTCACGTCTCTGTACCCTCTTCAGCTTAAAGGTTTTATATTACACAAAATCGACTCTTGTGAGCTTTAAGCCACGTTATAATGCTGTTACCTCCTCAAAAACTTACCTGGAGTTGTGTTTTGTTTTATTCACTTTATTTTTATTATTAGACTGTCATCTTCAAAGCTCAAAATGCTCTGTTCCATCTTGTGATGTCATGAAGCGTTAGTTTCTTAACAGCTACCTTTACCTTTTGTTCAGTAGAGATTGGCAATTCCAGGGCCGAAATCATCAGGATAATTCTAGTGAAGGTGTATGGAGCTTTAAAAACACAGTGGAGCATTTCCTGTATTGTCACATGACATCACAAGGTGGATCAGAGTGTTTTCTGTTTAAGAGAAGAACTCCAGCCTAAATGTGCAGGGTTTGTGTGTTAAACATGTGAAAGAAACAAAATATACTACCGGTCAAACGTTTAGTTTTTCCAAATTTTTCCAGTTATTTATTGCAATTCAAGTTAATTCAAATGTATTCAAAGGTGAGAACTGAACAGCTCGAGGTTAAAAAAAGATAAAAGATAACAAAACACAAGTCCAAGCTCTGCCAAAACTACCTCAGGAAAAAAAGAACAAGATGTTGAGCTTGAAAACATGGAGTGTGGCCAGCACAGTCTCCAGACTTAAACCCCACTGAGCTGGTTTTGGGATGAACTGGACAGAAGAGTGAAAGCCAAGCAACCTGCAAGTGCCACACATTTATGGAAACTTCTGCAACAGACTTGGGAAGAACTTTCTGAAGAATATTTGATTTCTATTGTAAAAAGAACGAGCCACGAGTGTGTTCAGCTGTTATATCTGCCAAACTTTCATGAATCAAAAGTTTAAAATATATTTTGGTCAACAGTAAACAGTAAAAAGCTGGAAAAAGTGTGGTGTTCTAAAACTTTTGACCAGTAGTGTATGTTTTTAAACAATATATCATAGCTCAGAGAATAGCTTAATATGGGCCTTTTAACCTCAGTGTCGTATATCCACAATTCCTTCACACATGTGCAAACCAACTTTATCCAGCAAAACATCCAACACAAAAAGAATTCAATAGTTGGCCTATTTAAAAATATCGTGTCACCTGTTTCCATGTAATTATTTTAGGCAAATAATTTGATAATGAGTTTAAGATGATCTATTCACGTTCATCTAACATAACATATTTAAATGGAATATATTTAAATAGGATCAACTTTTCTCAGCTCACACAGTTGCTGAATGTCTTTTCCCACTCTTCACCCTCATTTTACTCAGCATTTCTGACCAACACCGCAGGTCAGAAAGTCTTCAAAATATTGACCCGTATATATCAGATCATTTGCACATGTACTATATATATTATTACTATATTTATTACTAATTATTCATTCTTAGTTGACCAGAATTTTGTCTTCATATTTATTTTTTTAAGATTATTTTATACACAACAGAAGTGAGGACAAAGCATGGAGTGATTGGACAGCTTAACCTGCCTTTTCTGTCTACTGGTACTTCATTAAAAAAAAAGATTTTATATGTTGACTAATAAAACTTTTTACAGAGCTAAAATAGAGCTGGTTAGTTGGTGGGAAAGAAGAGGATGCAGCAACCAGGCGTGGATTTAAAATAGAAAATGTCCCGCTGTCAAATAGAAATTACAAGGACAATTTTTTACATTTGAAAAACTTATTACAAACTGAAGTGTAAGTGTCATTTGTTAAACTCTGTTCAGATAGCGTGCAGTCTCTTTGTCCTGGATCTCTTGTATTATTCCAGAGCCTCTGTTGGACCATCAATATTTCATGCAGGCCTCTCTTTTCTTTGACACTTGCTCATCGAAGACTTGACTCTATTTTCTCCATTTGGATGCACCACGCTGAGTACCACTGTGGTGCGTGTCTTGTCTGCTTTGCTAAGAATATCCTGTTTAAACGATTGGCTCTGGGAGAAGAACAGAGCGGCCGTATTGTGGAGCCATCGTTCACGTGAGGAGCAGAGCCAGTCCCACCATTTGAACCTCACAGTTGATATCAAACATATGCTGCATCATTTAACAAAACTAACACAAAGCTTTGAGTTTGTTTTGGAGAAGAGAGCAGTTGGAAGTGATTTCCAAATATTGTTGTGGACAAAATGAGAAGA